AAGTAAAATATTGAAAACCAGTTAAAATTTCTCTCCAATCATTTGCTTCTGTGGTGTCCCCCAAGGCTCTGCATTAGGACCACTGATCTATTAAACATTTACCAAAATCCTGCGCGAAATATCATAAATTCAGTTTATAACCACACGACACCCATATTTTTATATATTTATATTTCCATGTTACTCCTGTAAACTTATTGAGAAAATGCACAGCTGATTAAAGGTATGATACAGAGTGTGTTGGTCACCTGACTGTCCAGTCCGAGCAGCAGCAGCATGAAGAAGAAGAGCGCCGCCCACAGCGGGGCCACCGGCATCAGACTGACTGCCTTCGGATATGCAATGAAGGCCAGACCTGGACCTGAAACACACACAGACATCAGAGACTTCACAGGATTTTAATATGTGGCTCAAGGTTTGGCTCATACAGCATGTTTTTCCAACATGTGCACAGAAGATGTAACGTGTGCAGAATTTAAAGCTGCAGTGACACCAGCTCATTTTCTGGCTCTACAGTATAAATATGAAAAGAAAAGAGTCATAAATATGAAATTGGTTGGCCAAGCGTTTGACTATGATGTCATGATGCCACGATCAAGGTTGACTTGACCATATCAAGTACTATATCACATGAAAGGGCGCAGAGAGAGCTGTACAACACCCATTTTAGTTTTTCCACACAACACTGCGATGTCACAATGAAGCAATAACAGGCTGACGTCATCATGCTGCAACAGAAACATCATAAAACATCCAGGTTTGAAAGCAGGTTGTTCTACTTTAAATGCTTGTTTGTCCTGATTATGAAAAGTCTCATCTGCTCAGCTTCACGTTCCACAAAATAAATTTGCTGACATGCAGAAAGATTAAAGGTGCAGGACAAATATTTACAGCAGGACAAATCACGGCTTGTTTCCTCAGCCTGTGACGTGAGCACAGAAATATGCACCGGAGAGCTGTCGCATGCGAGGTGAAAGGCCTCGCTTAAATAATCCGACAGTTAATACTGCACGCACACAAACACACACACGC